TGCACCGTTGAAATAATTTGGCTACTCCAGGGCAACTGTAGTATTTGCTCCACTCGAAATTTCGCCACCATTTTCAACGAGATCTTTTTCTTAAACTGGACATGACTATGTTAGAAATGAGCTTTGGAAATGAAAGTCTAACAGAGAAACGTTTGAAGTATGACGAAGACAATCCAAATTACAAATGAGTGTATTTTGCTTATAGATTATGAGTTTTATTTCATCAAGATGCGAACTTCTGCCAATCGTTTATAATAAAAACTACCAATATTTCTTTTTTAATTTCTTTTTCAATTGCTCTGAATCGTTCCTACATAAGTAGCTAAATGATCGACAAACAACAATATTCATGTAGCTTATTCTTTTTATTGCGCTTTTTTCTTCTATAACGATTATTTTTTTGAAGAAAAACGCAGTACTTGAGTATGCGTTGGAGCAGTATCGAAGTCTTATTTGCCGAAAGATCATGCCGTGCGCTTTTTCATTTATGACGAATGCGAAAAAATATTGCCCATTCATTCGATATAAAGATGGGTAGCACCACTATCCTGTGCCACTTCAACGCGAGCGATGGTCTCGATAGTTACTTGTTGTTTCATGTTCGTTCTATTCAGGTAATTCTAAAATTTACTATCTTTCTATTCATCTAACGTTGAACAATCTTCTTTTTAAGTCTCACAGGTTCGATTCTTGTTTTGTTTTACATGTTGTGCTATTATTTTGTATGTGGATAGTTCGAGTAGAATTTTAATTATGCCGCCGTGGGATATCGCAATATGATCAATGCTCGTCGAATCCTGCGTGTGCCTGTTTCCATATGGCAGGTGCTGTAGAAACTGGCATTTGTGGCTTTCAATGACTGACTTGCTCTGAGATAGTTGCATGTGAGCTGTCAAGCCACCTTTGTTATGAGCCTAATCATACCTGTGCTCATCATCCTCGATGCAATAATCTTTCTGTTTGTTATCCAGTATCGATAATCGATAAACGAATCTGTCCACCGATAACAAGTAAGCTAACATACAGTGTTCTACAGATTCAGGTGGAACCCGAATTGCTCTACAAATACCCTCACATATGTGATACATGTTGACGTGGAAATTATGCGAAAGAGTCATCGAGTGTTTGAAAAATAGTAGATAATGAGTGACAACGACAAAATGAATTTTAATTGTTCGAAAAATATTTCGTCTCTTTTTATGGGTCATATTCATTAATTTGAAATGCATAGTTCGTTGCAATTATATCTAGCCCTGCATGAAGGCGAAGTGAACTTTTGAGTGTACACCAGAGACCGAAACAAAATTAAAAAAATCGATCATTCGATTCAACTCGACCCTATAGAAAGCACCAAATGCTTAGACCTACACAAGGGAGTCTCAATTCATTTGTGCTATGCTGCTCTTTATTCGTAATTTCTGTTGTGCAAGCGATAGATTCTTACGAATATCAAGTTCACTCGATTGCTTTGCTTCGAAGTAACTGCGATGGATAGCTAACACGAAAGAAAACGCATTCAAAGTTCTCTATCATATTTTTAATGAATAAGCATGCGAAATTAAAGGCTGACCATTTGTCGGTTACATAGTAACCGCTATAGCTCAACAAAGCTATAGCGATTGAACATGATGAATAAAACGCTAATGATCAGTCATGTAGCTGCGTATGTATATTATTTTTTCACACCTTTTAGTTCTACTATGCAGTACATCTGTCACAAGAAAATACTGATAAATATGTGAAGAATGCATCGAATCGGACCAACCATTAAAGGACCACTTATTTTAGATATGATACCTAAACGTGTTCTATTTTCGCAGGAGTGTGGGTTTCGGTGTGAAAAATATTATTCTTGAGCATAAATCGAAAATCAACCCACATCCATACCCACCTGCATAACGTTCTATGTTAGACCTAAAACTATGTTTTCTTTACACAAATGTTCTATGATAATGAATAGTGACGAACAGTACAACTGCACCTACGATTCTGACTACAACTACAACTCCAAGCGATACTCAACAGCTAGGTAAGTGTTATATTAATGCTTATTGACCTTGCTAAACACTAACTTCTAATCAAGTGAGGGTGTGGGTGTGAATGAAGAGTAGGCCAGACAACCACACCCATACCCTCTTATTATGTTGTTTATAAGGCTTGATTTAAATAATATAATCAATTATTAAATCAAGATAATATGAGAGAAAAAAAAATGTGTGCAGTTATAAACAGACCAAGATTTATAACTTCCCAACTTCTTCACCAATTGTGATAGTTCTCTTTCTATCTTTTACTCCTGCCTACGCGTTATACGTAAGCTGAATGATAATATTTAAAATCTTTGGTCTGTATGGGCTTAGAGAACTCATGTAATAAGCTTACTACTGGACTTGACTATTCATAATGGCATGACAAGGGTTCAATATATAAGTTCATAAATGTTTATTGAGGATATGTGTATATGTTAATAATAATAACCATCACACTAGACAAGAACTATATTAATCATGATAAACCCGCCTCAAAAGTGGGGAAAAAAGTATATATATATATATATACGTATATGGAAAGAGAGAAAACATCATAGACTAGTTGAAAGAGGACAGCAAAGATCAATGAATAAAAGATACTTAACATAATAGTTAGCGGCGATATAGTGTCATCAATTAACGCTAACACTATTAGAATCAGTTCTGCTATATTAATGGGACAGTGATAATTTTTATACTTTTTTCTGTTTAGTTTGTTTGCATATGAAGACAATATTGTGTCTACAGACTTGACATTTTTGTAAAGAAGAAAATTCTCTATTGTTTTTCTTTAAAAATCGTGTTTCTAGAAGCATTTTAAGATTAGCGAAAATACAGAAGAAAAATGGTTCATTCATAATGTGCCATCCATTATATGTCTGTCTACATATTTTCTAATTAAATGCTCATTCGTGGTGTTTTCAATTCTATATTGTTGTCCCCTAAGCAAGTGTTCGAAAATGAAAGATTCTTTCCGAGAAACATAAGAGCGCAACAGGTATGAAAAAAAACTAGGGAAAAGTTTCTACTTCTCATTAGACGCGATCGCTGAAGGAAAAGATTTTAGGACGCTGGCCGACTTCACTGATGTTTCGCGATCATTACCGACCTTTGCACTGCACTCATCTAGTTTTTAGGCACGATACACATCTCTGATTGCTAATACTAAGCTAACTATTTTGAAAACTCCATTATTTCAAAATGTTGAAAACTTACATCGATTGCAAAAAAAAACGAATGACTGAAATAATTATTATTTGAACATCATCTTTATTTTTGGTTTAAGGTATCCTTAGATATTTTTAGATAACTTTTGAAAAATGCATTGCTTATAATAAAAGAATGAATTATAACCGTTTACGTACAGTCCTATAGGAATAAATTAGGAAAAATCAGGAAAGTAATACTGCTGCGAGGCCTGCTAGAGATAATGATTTTCTGGTTGAAGAATATAAAGTGTTTCATGATACAATTTTATGGAATAGATAAGACAAAGAAATCAATTAATGTGAAATATCCATCGTGCCAAACACAACATCATAAGCGCTCTTATATCTCCACCAATCTTTTTCATCATGATCATAGACATAGGATAAATCGGGAACAAAAAGCTCTGACCCAAGATCAATTGTTTCGAAATATCTTGTCGTTCAAATTCAGTTCTAAGATAGTCCCATGTTCGTTCATCACCCATAGCACGACATGGCAGATTCGTAAGAAGACTTGAATGGGTGACACTACATATATTCATAAGTGTATGATAGTGCGACTTAACACAGTCCGTATAAGTACAATTATGCGCAGTTTTTTTTTCTCGATTGCTTCCTCGATATTATTATTTCAGCACTTGAGGTAAACATGGATTGCAGCTTCCTTTCTGCGAATCGGCTGCATTTAGTTGTGATACTATGGAAGTGTGGATGAAAAGTCTCCAGAATGGATTATTGAATGGACAAAATATCGAGATATTGAAATGCAAATCATCGAAGCTGCTTATTAACACAAGAGATCTGAAGTTTTTCTCGATAAATATTGTATCGACCTTATTAAATCAATTCAATTTAATAAAGCTGATTCAAGACAGCAATGTCCTGTAAAGTGCGAAGCCAATCGTCGACGAGAAGATTGTTTACGTGAAGAGCGCTTTTTTTTACTAAACCATTTCTCACGTCAGCACCTTCATATGGATCAGCGCAAGCTTGCTGTACTTTTCTTCACCGCATGTTTTAACTCATCTGCTAAAAAAAGGCATTGTTTGATTTTTCCTTCGTTATTGATGCTTGTGCGGATGGAATCTTGTTAGAAGCGGCACAACATTGAAGCCGTAACAAATTGGATGGCTGAGCAAGTACGAGCATGTAAAGAGAAATCACGTAGTGAAGTGGCGAAGATTATTCAAAATTAGACACGATGGGACCTCTTTGTTTTATTATTCGAAATTCCTCACATGCTTGCAAAGAATTTGTTGAAACTGTGTATATCAAGGAGTTAACCTAGCACCACTAATGATCGAAACAAATACAAAAGCAGTGGGCGTGTGGCACACATGACCTAGTTTGGCACGAACAATTAAGAATAGAAAAATGGCTGAGATTTGTGGAAACATTTTGCTCATTACAATTGCCGCTGGTAAATTTAGTCCTGTGGTATGTGCTTATTATGTATTAGCAACTTCACAATTTTTCACCGAAGAAGAAGTTATTTTGCCCTTTGGAATCTCGTTTCAAATCATGATTGTTGATCAAAATTTATCTGAAAAATACGTTATTGAAATAAAAATTTGAATTGAGCGTCAACTATTGAATATGTACTGATCTAAAATGAGATATGAATTATTCACTATTGCTTGAATATTATTGGCTACTAAAAGCTTTGGAGTACACATACTACAAGTTTTATATTGTGAGATAACTTTATTTTACAAATATATTCTAAATGGAAACTTCATTAAAACTTTTTCTGTTTAGAAAGTCAGTTTTTAAGGTGAACGATGTTTTTATTTTGGTTGAATATATTATTAGTTCCATTGACATGATGAATAGTATTTAAATGAATTGTAGAGTCATCATTTGATTTTTTAAAGACAGTTTTAATTTGACGACGAAAACCACCATTTGTAAGCATGGATACGTAGAAGCTAGTAGAAAAAAATGCAAACGACAATAAATGAGTGAAATCATTGAAAATGTTATCGCGAGCCTTTTGGAAAGCTGACTTTGGCCAATTTTGAGTAACATTTGAATAGATAAGTTCAGCTGCATATGGTGTATAAGTTAATGTAGCAATGATTGATTGTAATATAAGCATCAATTTAAGTCGAGAATCCATTGTTTGAAGAACTGAATGTCGTGCAACAGTTGCCGGTGGTCTATTATGACCAGAAACAATTTGTCGTCGAATAACCTTGTGGACACTTCGTATTAATAAACAAGCAAGTACAATCATCACTGTCGGTGGACATATTCCTTGAAAAAATGCTTCAATATAATTATCAAAATAATCATAAAAGCCTGATAGAGCAGCACATCTTCCGCTTATAATATTATATAAAATAAGTCGATGACCCATCAACAATAACCAAAAGACTAAGCATGTAATACACATTCTGTACGCAATTGGTATACGATTGCTCCATTGACGATATTCTGAAATGAGAAGAAAATGTGTCATAGCTTGGTTCTTTCACAAAATAGAAGTACACTATCGAGATTAAAATTTTCGGACAAAGATTAAGATTTTTCTTGTTCACAATAGACATAGAGCAATAGAATGTGTAGGGAAATACTTATTTCTATTAATTAGCATAAGACAATTGTGCAAATACAAGGCTACTTACAAATTTATAGATTGACGAACAAAGACAATTCTCTCGGGAGTTTCTATTCTGCGAAGAAGTGGCGAGGAAATGGGCAATTATTTTATATTCACTGAAACAGAAAAACATCAAATAATATACATTGCAAACGAAATGGAAAAAATGTCAAACACTGTTAGATCATGTTGACGACCTATGATCTACCCAAACTTTTTTTAATGAAAAAAGCAATGTGTGAACTATAAATTTTGTACCAGACATATTTTCTCAGGACGAATCTGAAAAGAAGGAAGAGCCGAACCTAAGTACCTCTAAAAAGTGCTTGCAACTTCACTGTCCAGTAACGTCATTTTCTATTTTTATTGATTTTTTTGATAGTAAAAGAGAATGGGAAAGCTACACTGAATAATGATTTTCATAGCATAAAGAATGGTCTTTCCAATGGCGTATTGAAAGTTAAATTATTTTTAGTTTTTATACTTACCAAAATATTGCTTTTTCTAAAAAACACTGAAAAATATGGGTTTTCTCACTATCTGACCGTTTTGCAATGGTAAAACATATTTTTTTAATTACTTTCTTGTTCAGGTCCTGACATTTGACATATTTCGAACAAATAGCGCAAAAAAATTGCGTTCATGTATGATTTCTGGAGATTATGGCTGATATTCTTGCAGACTGATAGTTCTTATAAAAAAAAGTCGATTTTTACAAATATTGAATTCTTTGAATCTTTCATTAAAGAGTCAAGAACGGATTTAAAATTTTGTAACAAAGCTGATACCGATCGAGTTTTTGATGCTGTACGTTTTGGTGTATTTTTGTTAAAATTTGGTCCGTGTAGCCAGAAATTTTTGAGAAATACAGATTTTTGCAAGTTGCAAGAACGTTTTTAGAGGTACTTGGTTTTGGACTTTTCCTCCTTTTCAGATTCGACTTGAGAAAGCATGTCTGGGCAAAATTTGTAGCTCACACATTGCTCTTTTCATCAATAAAAAGTTTGGGTAGATTAGAGGTCGTCAACATGACGTAACAATGTTTTACATTTTTTTTCTCATTTCTTTTGCACCGCATATTATTTAAGAAATATTCAATCTCTTAAAGTATAAATAAGTGCTAAGCTTCGATAATTTCCTTTGTCATAAATGAATGATTATTTAAGAAAATATTTTCATTTACACATATCGAATCAAAGTAACTGCATCAAGAGTTAATAATACATAATTGCAAAGTAACGAGAAAACTCTATCCGATTCTCTTATATATCTACTTATAAATTGTCTTCATAAATTATTGCTGAACATATATAAAATCATCCAACTTCTAAATATAATATGGAATGTTGTAGAGGAAAACGGTCCGATATTTAATTAGTTGATGTTTATCTATACTTACTAACTGATCGTTGTGTCGATAAAAGTCGATCAATTGTTGCAAATGAAAATAAAGTAAACGACACTTGATTACCATAGATGGAAAAAAATGCTCGAAGTTTGCACAGGACACCGAAACGTGTGATAATTGGAATTTGAAATCCTTTTTGAAAAATTCGTACCAACAGAACAAAATTAAAGTAATTAAATTCACATATTGCTTCCGATAATAAATAAATTGAATAAGCTTGTTTGCGAAATACTGGAGAATGAAATACTATCATATTCCCAATACAACCAATATTACCTGTCATCCAAAGAAATAAACCAAACCAAATGTTCAGTTGAATGGATGCAGCTACAAGAGCACTAGTACTATCACTTGATGTGGTATTCATTGTTAGCAGAGTGTTTGAGAAACAAGACACTGTCTCCTTCAGTTGTCTTACTCGATGTCGATAAAAAAACGCAAGGTTTTTATAATTTGTCTTTGCTAGACAAATTATAAAAACCTATTAATAAAATCTAATGAATTTTTTCAACATAAAAGAACTTGTCGCAATGATTTTCCACCACGATGATGACTTACATTTCTTTGTACTTTTATATTCGTGCATATCTAATTGATAATGATAAGCGAAGTGTAGTATCCTTTTTCAGAACTTGATGACGTTCAGTACACATTGTAAATTATAACAATAAATATATCAATTCGTTAGAATGCAGTTCAATTTAATTTTAACAAATTAATAATTTTCGACTTGTTTTGTTTTTCTTTTCTTGAATTATAAAGTATGGCCATCATCAACTGTTGAGGACATCACTTGTGACCTGAGTTTAACTATTTAGTGCAAGACAAATATGAATAGCTAGGAAATGATACTAACAACAACAAGAACGCGATGTTAATCAAGAAAACCAAAATTAATCTATAATATTAATTAATTGATTAACACTAAACGAATTCATAAACTAATCAATATATATAATCTAATACAAGAACACCCACACTCTATATTGTTCTTATTTAAGTTATTTGTCGATTCAAAACAATTATCTATTATGATTAACGAAGCATTCAATCGAACTACCGAAGGAAAAAAAATGGGTGAGGACATCTAAGATGTCGTACCCTACTTTTTCGATGAAATTCATCAAATGTTATTCAGATTGTTAATCTGACTCTACAAAGTAACTTTGTAGAAATGGAACTTGAAAGAGTTCACTACATTGCTCCTAGAAGGGTCCCATACCTGAAACCTTCAAGGTTCAGGTAAACGTTGGCGCTCCAGAGTCGAGCAACTCTGGTGTATGACGAAAGAATTTGCATAAAAACCGCGTTTTTTTCGAAATTTTTTTCTGTGGGTAATCCATCGACATTTTAAAAGTTTTTTACATAGAAACAATTCTTGTTACTACAAGAAATTAGTCACACAAAAGCAATTCATTCTCTTTATATATGCATATGTACATATATTCTTGTGTATGACTTATTTATCTTTCGATGTATTAATGTTATCGGGCCTTGTACATATTTAGATGATTTCTTCCCCTTCGTCTATGAGAATCATTGAAATTTTCACATTTTCCTATGTTTTATTCAGTGGGTTAGCTAAAAGAAAGAAAGAAAGATTGCAGAAGGGCTCAGATTTTCTAACCGTACGTCTAGAAGGGCTTGACCATTTTTTTAAAACAGAACCCAATCGTTTGAAGGGAGGGGCAGGCAGACAGCTCAGAATTTATAGAGGGAACTGAGTGCCTCTTGCCCCATTGGGATACGCCACTAATTCCACTTCTTTACATTGATGATGCCGGCAAAAAACAAAGGTACAGAGCATCGCCTTTTTCCTTTAATATTGAGCTAATTTCAAATTCGCAATATGATTTCAACTTGTCTTTCTAACTTTACGTTTTTTTAAAATTTGTGCAACTCTGTAGGTTCTGATACTGTATAAAATATTTGGTTGAAACTGAAATTAACTATTAGTTAGACTATTTCGTAACTAAATCCCGTATGATACTTACTATATTACATATATGATTTCGCTTGTTTAAAACAAACTATTTGAATTTATTTTTTTGGTTGCATGAACAATATCAAAAAGTTAATCCCTATTTAAGATTCTAACTTTATGATGAAATTATTCTCGTACTCATTTGTTTTTTTAAAGAAAGAAATAATTCATTAAAACAACACTCAGATTTAATCATCTGTGAAAAGTAAATCCCAACGCAATTATTTTTTAATTATATTCATTATCAAGGATATATTTAACTTTCTGGGTAATGCAAGAACTGGTTTTTCACAGACGCCATAAATCTGCATGTTTTCTCGTTTTTATATGCTTCAGCTTTTTTAAAAACAATTTTTCAATTCATTATGAATATAAAGAAAGATCTATCTGTAACGTAAAAATGTCGATGTCGTAGGGATTAGATAAATATAGGTAAGTATAAGTTAAGGAGGTTGAATAATAGAATGAGATACTGGCCGAATACAGTAGAATCTTTACGTTACTGGTTGAATAGATCTTTATTTCAACACCAATAATTCCACACACATGGATTAATAAGAAACACACTACCACACTAAGATAACACTATTCAATAGTATATCAACTCTACCCTATATCTCTTTTTCTAATCCTTATATATACGCCTTCCATTCCATTTTCGACTCAATATCTTTTCTCCATATAAGGAAAAAGAGCTAAGTGCATATACAAGGACTGAACTACTGTGCACCTCAAAACAATTTCCCCTCTTTGTTTTTTTGTGTTTTTATTATCGTACTCCTTTTATTTTTAAACATATTATATATAGTTAGAAAGAGCAGAATGCGCTGCATCTTTTGGTATAATCACCTTGAAGAACAATTAAATTTTAAAGCACAAAAAATATATCAGAAAAAAAGTCAGATTTTTTGCTACTACAAAATGCGTAAAAATGTTTTTCCAGGAGGAGGGTAAAGCACAAATCCTACTAGATATAAAAGTGAATTTTATACCAAAAGAAAGCCCGTCAAAAACGGCATTTAACAGTATAACTGGTCATTCATAAGATGAAAATGCACTATCGAATATTGAAAGTTTCAAAATTTTTATTGATATAATTGGGCCCTTCTATGAGTAGAGTCAACCAAGATTCTCAAAAAGTTTTTTGTCTTCTGAACTTTGTAGAGCTCTTTTCGCTGATCATTTTGGTAAGAAAAACTTTTAAATTTCATCAATGAATAACGGTATTAGGATCAAAATACCAAAAATCTAAAAATTACTGTTACTGATAGACCTAAAATGTTTATGAGTATTTTAATCCTAATATCGTTATTCATTGATGAAATTTAAAAGTTTTTCTTACCAAAATGATCAGCGAAAAGAGCTCT